TCCCTGCCCTCCACCTGCCCTCCTTGATGGTAAATTGAGCTCTGATACCGCTTCTACCAACTGTGTCCTGTGATACTCCATGCACCCCAAAAGAATGTCACCTCAACCTGGTGGGAATGTTTGGACCCTAGGGTGGAGGCTGCCTGCTTCATCTCAGTGTCCCCAGGGCTCAGGCCAGGCCCCATGGCCTGGCCCCATGAGATGCATTGAGGGAGCATCAAAAACTGGCTGGGAAGTGGCTGGAAAGAGGTGCCCCTGGACCCTGCTGGAAAGAGTGCCTGGTACCTATCTGTCCAAGAAGTGTCATGCCCTGGCCCCTTCGGGCAGGAAAGAAGGGGCAGAAGACACCTGGACTGTGTGGGAGGCAGGGGTGGGTTGGGGTGGTGGGCAGATCCAGTGCTGACTTGCCGGCCCTGACAGGGACAGTTGCTTCCTTGTCTGTTCCCGTCCCCTGGGGCCGTGCTTTGAGGCGCTCATTTCGGCCCCATCGGGTCTGGGTGGGTGTGTGCCACTGCCCCCTCCCTTGGACAGCAGCATGCCTTCCTTTTTCCCTCAGGTCTCTGTGAGGATGCAAGGTGGGAGACCCTGGAGGAGGGGAGCCAGCGCCTCCTGCCCTGAGCCTACCTGAGCTGCAGGTTCCTCATGAAGTCCTCCATGGTCACTTGGTCCAAAAGCACGAAATCAGGTTTGCCACACTCAGGGCCTTCCTCGTCCTCCATCCTGCCGGCTGGAAACACCTTGCCTCACCTTCCTGTGCCTGCCGGCAGGACAGTGAAGGAGAGGGGAAGGGGAAGGGAAGGCTTGGGGAGGCCCCACCGCCCCCGCCCTGCCTCACCAGCCTCCTCCAGTGCTGGTGTAAAGTAGGAAGTGGGTTCTGGTCCTGGGAGGGGCTGCCCTCCCCACTTGCCACTCCTTCCCTTTCGAGGTGCTCTAAACCCTGCTTCCTGTCCCTGTGCCCCACAGGGAGGCTGTGCCTAACGGTCTGACCCGCTTGCACGCCAGGGCCGAGGGGCCGGATGCTGGGTCCTCCCTGCTCTGGAGGGTTCTTTGCTGGCCTCCTTCGGAAGCTCCCTTCCACCCACAAGCAGGAGACAAGACTCTGTGGGTTGGTTTCCAACCCTGGTAGCACGTTAGAGTCACTTGTGGGAGTTTAAAGAAGGATTTTTTGACGTGATCTTGGTTACCCGGCTGTGCGTGTCTGTCAAGTCAGAACTGAACACTAGATGCAATTTACTGTATGTACATTGTACATTAATACAAAAATGAAAAAAGATCCTAATATCCAGGCCTTTGGGGTGGGGGCAACAGCCTTCTTTGAAGTGTGAAGGCCACATTGGGGTGTAGATGAGCAAAGCTTCTTGTGTAACCTGCCAAGGACCAGTGGTCCTAGCACTGCAGTTCCCCACCCCAACCACGGGGGAGGGACGGAGGACCCCAGAGCATCCTCTGCATAGGGCTGGCCTTCAGTGGGACCCCTAACTGTCCTCTGCCTTGTACTTGCATCCAGCTGATCCCCCATAAACCCAGTGAGGACCAGGCACGTGCCTAGAGCCCTGGGGACCTCATCTCAGAGCTGCTGTCCCTGCGCTTTGAAGATGAGGCAGCGCATTTGGGGAGTGGCTGCATTTGGGGAGTGGCCAAAATCTCCAAACACTGCATTCCTGACACTCACGGTGCCCGTCTCCTGGAAGAAGTGGGAGGGGTGCAGTTCTCTTAGCCTCTAAGCAGACTGGGGAAAGTTCTTTCTCATCCCAGGACAGACTGGGGCAGGTCACACCCATCCTCTAAGAACACTGGGGCAATTCTCTCATCAAAGGTCCTCTAAGAACACTGGGGCAATTCTCTCATCAAAGGTCAAATGGACACAGTTCTCTCTCATCCTACAAATAGACTGGGAACATTTCTCTTTCACCCCTGCCCTCATACAGGGAGGTCAGAGGGTGGACTCCAGAATTCCCAAACTTCAGTCATTCATATGATGCCTTTGAGATTTGTTGCACTCGTAAGCACTATTTTAACTATTGTCTTTCAGTCATCCCATTTTTCAAACTTCGAAGTAATGGATAGGCAAGTTAAGGTTATTTTTTTCTCTCAAATACCTTAAAGTGAACGCATTCCGGATAAAACTGAAAGTATCCAAGTACCTAATAAAACTGAGTCATGCACCATCTGCGATAAGGGACCACTGGCCTGAAAAATCCCCAAATTTGTAAGTGGGCAGCCTCTGGCTCCACCCTGGGCCAGACCTGAGGCTCCTCTTAGGCAAATTCAAATTCAGTCCTTCCAAGCTCTGACAAGTGTGGTCTCCTCTCCACCCCCAGGCTCTTGGGCTGGTGCTTTTGAAGGGTTTCCCAAACCTACACTCAAGTCTGGGAATTCTCACCCAGACTCTTGCCAGCTCATCTCCCTTTTCAGTTTCACTTCCCCAACCCCCAGGGAGTCAAGCCAACCAATGGAACCAACATGGCTGTGTTCCAGGAAAACGTTAAGGACACCGAAATGTGAACTTTGCAAACTTGTCATCTGTCACGTAATCATACTATTTTGGGTTTCCCCCCTGCCACTAATGACTTAAAAATGTCAAGACCACTCTTAGCTCAGAGATTTAGCCGGCAGGAGGAGTTTGCCCGCCCTTGCTTTAGACGCTGCTGGTTGCTGGGACCCTGGTCCTTCCTTGGTAGTTTGCACAAATTTGCCATGCATTGCCTCATTTGATTCTCATGACCCATGTAGGAGTTACTGTTATTTTCGTTTTACATCTGTTAAAACTGAGGCCAAGATGACATCACTGCAAAGGAAGTTCCCTCCTGGGTCAACAGACCTCTGGGCCCTTCTAGCACTGAATTCAGTGGGTCCTACTTAAACCCCAGGGAAAGCCAGTCAGTCAGAGTCACGGCCTGGTCCTCAGAAGGCAGGACAAGTGGTATAGCTCTATCTGCTAGGGCATCCCCAGGGCATGCTCCTTACAGGGTCTGACTGGTAAAACAGGTAGATAAACAAAGGCAGAGGCTCCTAATGGAAGGACAGCAAGGAGGGGCCACCACCAACTCAAGCCTGGCGGGGTCTGAGGAAACCATCCTGGCCCTGGTGAGTTTCACTCTCATTATCTCATCCGGATCAGTTTCACGATACCTCCCAACACCAAGGCTCCTACTGCTGCATCTATAGTCCCCTTGCCCTCACCGTCCACGATGCAGTCTTCAAATCCCAGGCGTGCTCTGTTGGTGCTGACCTTGCAGCAAATCCCCAGCCCCAGAAAAATGTCCCCTTTCAGGGGTGTTGCTTTTTCAGCTCTACACAATGTACCATAACTTAGTATTTGTATTTAAAATTTTTTTACCTCATCTGAGGTGCTACCATTGGGCTAGTTGTAGGGGAATGGCTCTACCAAGGCGCATACTCTCAGAGGCCACAGGCCACACAGCTCAACTGAGCCTGAAAAATCCCCAAATTTGTAAGTGGGCAGCCTCTGGCTCCACCCTGGGCCAGACCTGGGGCTCCTCTTAGGCAAATTCACATTCAGTCCTTCCAAGCTCTGACAAGTGTGGTCTCCTCTCCACCTCCAGGCTCTTGAGCTGGTGCTTTTGAAGGGTTTCCCAAAACCTTCTGGAACTGAGGGTGGAGGCCTGGGAGGCACTGCCATAAGGCCAGCTCCACTCCCTGTTCCATCCCTTTGGGAGGCTATCAGGAATTGCTGTCTCCTGGGATTTTTTTCTAAGCAGGGACATGAGGCTTCCAGTTCATACCCCACTGCCCCTATGGTATAGCTGCAGACTAGACAATCTGCTCAGCTGCAGTCTAGAATTGGCTCCTCAACAAGGGTAGATGCTATGCCTCCTGTTGCAGGCCCCTTTGGGTGCTTTTCCATTCACTGTCAGTAGTAAATTGAATGTGAGTCACTGGAGGCTGGGTGCGGTGGCTCACGCCTATAATCCCAGCACTTTGGGAGGCCAAGGCAGATGGATCACCTGAGGTCAGGAGTTTGAGACCAGCCTGACCAACATGGTAAAACCCCATTTCTACTAAAAATACGAAAATTAGCTAAGCGTGGTGGCATATGCCTGTAATCCCAGCTACTTGAGAGGTTGGGACAGGAGAATCGCTTGAACCCAGGAGGCGGAGGTTATAGTGAGCTAAGATCATGTCACTGCATTCTAGCCTGGATGACAGAGCAAGACTTCATCTCAGAAAAAAAAAAAAAAAAAAAAGGTCTGGGCGCGGTGGCTCACGCCTGTAATCCTAGCACTTTGGGAGGCCGAGGTGGGTGGAGCACGAGGTCAGGAGTTCCAAGACCAGCCTGGCCAAGATGGTGAAACCCTGTCTCTACTAAAAATACAAAACTAGCTGGGCATGGTGGTGGCCGCCTATAATCCTAGCTACTTGGGAGGCTGAGGCAGGAGAATCACTTGACCTGGGAGGCGAATGTTGCAATGAGCTGAGATCATGCCACTGCACTCCAGCCTGGACAACAGACACTGTCTCAGATTTAAAAAAAAAAAAAAGTCACTGGTACTTTAATGGCTCTATTTGTCAGGCCTTGGCCTGCTGCAACATTCCTTGACAACATCACCAACACCAACCTGGGGCACATCACACATATTAAGGGTATTACTTCTGTAACTTGTTTGAATGCTTAGGTGAATACCTAAGACGATCTAAAGAGACAGAATGTCTTATCGAGCCAACCATCAAATGTTCCTGGAAACCACTCAGGATCCCAAGGTAAAGCTCCTGATGACAGTGCCTTTGTGCACCACCACCCTACTGCAGAATTCAGCCAGTTGGCCTTGGCTTGTGAACTCTCACCGCAGTTTGCCACTGTCAGTTGAAACTGGTGGCACATGCACATAAGGTGATCAGAGTTCCAAGTGGCTATCTACAAGCATGAGCATTGAGAATGGTGAAATATTTGGGGATCCCTTGGACTTAGCTGACAACTCCTTCAAGAAGACACAGGGTCTTCCTTATCTTTGCTTATGGAAAGAAGAGGCAGGACTAAATCACATATTTAAATCCATATTTATTAAATAGCCCTTGTTTTTCATTCAGGAGATACCAGAAGGGCCCAGGTCCTGGTGCACAGCAAAGCTTCTCATTCTGGAAGCAGAGAACCTGGCACCCAAACCTAGGGCCAGAGGTTTGTCAGACCCATAGGCCAGGCCCAGAACTGGAAATTCCTGACTCCTTCCAGAAGGGCAGCAAACAAGGTTTCAAACTTGCTCAATTAAGGTGCCAAGACTTGCATTCAAATTCAGCTCCACTCATCAGCAGATGTATTAACACAGGCAGGCCTCATCTGTAAAAATGAGATGAGAAACACTTCACAGACCTGTTGTGAAAATTAAGTGACATAATTGACACAACTAGGGATTATTACAAACCCCTATTGCCATCAGCGGCAACAACAGAACTGAACCCTACTTACCAACTCCTGAACCCACTCCCACCATGAGCTGAGAGGCCTGTGACCAACCTCAGTGGCAGCCCATGCCCTTTCCAGGGGCTGAAACACTGGCCACTGACCTAAGGTTACTCCAGAGAAAAGACTATGTATGTTGAAACCAAATCACAAAAGCAGTAAAATACCACCCCCAAGAATCAGGGTTCATGAGTCCAAACACTAGACAACTGTTTGTCCCAAAATAGTCTTGTGAGCTCGAAGACAATGAACCTTTCTGGGATTCAATCACCTGACTTACAATACGGGAAGGTCAAAATAAGGCGATGGTTTTTGAACTTTTTCTAGTCAGGTGATTCTAAATAAAACAGGAGTGAAGTGACTTGCTAGGTGAGACCTTCCTGCACACTTACCCCTGCACAGGTTCCAAGGAACAGCCTAGCAGCCACTGAAGGTATCTTCTCTCAGGTCAGGTCCCCTCTAGCTCCGGCATCTCAGGATTGCTGCTGTAGAAACACTGAGGGATGAGGGGTACTCTTGTGCCATGTGCTGGGTCAGGGACACACAGTGGAGCCACTGGTGAGAGGTGGCTGTCAGGAACTGGCAGCTAACAAGGTCGCCTCCCAGTTTCATGGACACTGGTAGAGAATACAAAATTCCTCCATTAGGGACAAGGGACCATTGATTATTCAAAGCAATAGCAATAGCCAGAGCATCAGCATTTTCTACCACCCTCCCAAGCCCCAGTTCCCATAGGGAAGTCAGAGGCACCTGCGTAGGCCATTGGACTACTACAGGAAAGGAGTGCAGGACTCTACCCTTTCATAACGCACAGCAAGAATACCTGCTCTCTGCTCTGGAAGAAGGTACTACCTTGTATGTTCCAAGGCTGTCTGCTGCACAAACATCCTTGAAAAGATAATAAGGAAAAGGGGTAGCCAGTGCTTTACTCACAAGATTGCTTGAACATGAGACTCAAGGAGGGACCTCAGCAGGCCTGGGGTGTTCAGCAACTGTTCCTGGCCTGAAAAGACAGAATCAGCTGGAAGCCTCTACCTTTAAGAGAGGCGACCCCACCACCCAAAGGAACACAGGAGCTGTGCTGCTTGTGCTATGCCCAAGCCAGCAACACTCTTCCCATCCCAGTCAATTCTTTTTTTTTTTGAGACGGAGTCTCGCTCTGTAGCCCAGGCTGGAGTGCAGTGGCCGGATCTCAGCTCACTGCAGGCTCCGCCTCCCGGGTCCACGCCATTCTCCTGCCGCAGCCTCCAGAGTAGCTGGGACTACAGGTGCCCACCACCTCGCCCAGCTAGTTTTTTTTTTTTTTTTTTTTGTATTTTTCAGTAGAGACGGGGTTTCACTGTGTTAGCCAGGATGGTCTCGATCTCCTGACCTCGTGATCCACCCATCTCGGCCTCCCAAAGTGCTGGGATTACAGGCTTAAGCCACCGCGCCTGGCCCCCCCAGTCAATTCTTTAACACACCTAACACCAAGACAAGAACTTGAAGGCATCCATCTCCTTCCCACCGGCTTCTATATTCCACTCAGGCTGCAGGATGAGAGAGGCCTGGCATCAAACCCTGATCTGCTGGTTTGTGGCTGGGCAACCCTGGACACATAATTCTGACCTTGGGCCCCTCATGTGTACTGAATTTAAACACAACCTCATGGTGATACCTCCAATATTTAAAACAAGAATTAAGAGATTTGGCACAAAATAGGTGTTCAACATTAGCACCTTCCTCTTCCATGAGTTTTTCCTTTAAGATGAGTACACATTGACCTCACCTTCCACTAGCTCCTGGGGCACTCAGCCCCTCTGCAGAACTGAGACTTTGGTTCTCTTTGCTTTGCCTTGTAAATATCCTGTTCATGAGTCTCTCAGGGCAAGACTCTTCCCTGTTATTCCTCTCCACTGTTTCAACTCCTACCCTTACCACCTCTCTTGGCTTCATTCTCAACTTTTATAAGACTTTTGCTTTAAGTGTATAATAAAATAAAATTTGTACTGAGCCTGGAGCATAGCAAACACTCAGAATTCCCTTTACCTTTCACACTAGCATCGTCCAAAACAACTTCCACAGCGACAGAAATGCCCTCTAATCAGTGCGGCCCAATATGGTAGCCACTGGCCACCTGTGGCTACTGACCGCCTGAAATGTGGTTAGTGTGAAAATTAAATTTAATTTAATCATGCATACCAAGTGGCTGCCACATTAGATGGGGCAGATCTATATAAGGCCCAGCTCTATACAAGACACCAGATCCAGGAGGGAGCCAGTCATTGTCTGAAATTTCTATAACCTTGCTCTGGATGGAGCAGGGCAAGGCCTCAAACCGTTTCAAAACTGTTCTAGCAAGCACTGAAGGAATGCATAGGGTCACCGCAGACCCAAGCACGCTGGAGGCTTGCTACCCTCATTCACCCAAATCCCCCACACTCAAGGAATCTGGCAGCCCACTCTCACTAAGCACCAGTCCCTGCTGGAGGCTGTGGGAAGAGAACAGAGTTCAATTAGGCACCTAAGCTTGGTTCCAGGAGCCCAGAGCTACTGATGACTCTCAGGGAAAGATCATTTCTGGCTAAGGAAGAAGGGAAGGTGTCTTGGAAGAGATAAACTTATTAAATTATTAAATAGATCAGACAACACGAACTAAACTTCCACATTATTCTATGACACTACAATTCTAGCATGGCTCTTCACTGTGACCAGAAACATCCTTATTTATCATCATGTAGTTAATATAAATGCAGCCTTTTCCCCTTTATTTTTCTGTCATGTATCTTACGGCTCAGAAATCACTTCTGAACGAGTAAGTAAGACAGGACACATGAAGTAGATTTCATTTTCCCCATGAAATAATGGTTCAGAGAAAACGCAGGCCTAGTTCCAGGAAGGCAGAGTTGGGGTCTTTGCAACGTGATTTACCGGGGCATCTTGCAAAACAGTTGCTGTGACAGTAAGCTCTTCCACTTTGAGACCATCACCTCAGCCAAGGCTCCCACCTAGAAGGGAACAAATGTAGTTAGCTCCAGCTTGTGCCTCTGAACCACTATTCAGCTCTGGCTCCATGCAACGCCTGGCCCACTCTACAGCCTCTCTTGAGGCAGGTCTACACACCACCCCATGCCTTCCGGTGAGGTCCCTCCAGACCACACGTCTCATACCGCCTACTGGAGTCCACCCACGTCATGCAGGAGAAGCCCCATTTCTCTGCTGAAAGAGAAGCACGAGGTTACTTATCACGTAACCCCCGAGTCTCCTCCGGGGAAAATGTTCCGAACGCGCTCAACCCCGTCTTGCGAGGAAGTAGCACGTGTAGTGAAGGCTTGGGCTCCAAGAACTACTGGTGCCTCCACTCACTGCGGCCCAGCCTCCCACGCCGCCCGCCACTCAACCCGATCCCCCACGACCCCTACCTGGGCTCAGGAATGCTCAGGCAACACGTGAGGCCCAGGATTGCGGTGGATGACTATGCTGCAGAAGACCGCGCCGCGGCGAGTACGGAGTATGGAGTACAGACGCCGCCAGCCAAGACTGACGCCGCGCGCTGCGCCGCGCACCTCGACGTCACCGCATAGTCCCGCCCCGAAGCCGTGCGCGGCCCGGGCCACAGCATTTGGGGCAGATTACGTCACGCTGCCGCGGGCGCTCGCTTGGTGGGGTGCGCTGGGCCGTAGACTTTAGGGTCCTGGGGCTCGACCGCGCTGCGTCCTGAGGCGTCAGCGGAGTCTCTCGACCGCCCTCTGTTATCCTCCTTTAGTGACCAGAAGACTGGAGTTACGTAATCTGCCCCTGCCGCTGAAAGGACGGAGGTCTGACTCCGTGGCCTGGAGGGGCGCGTTGAGCCCCTAATGGGTGGTGCCTTCCTGATGCGGCCGCACAGGAAGGGCCGGGCGGAATCCAAGCACGAAGTGGATGTGGAGCCTTGGGAATGAACAGGAGCCTGCCGGTGGGAAAGATGATGCAGGTGGAAGGGCAAATACAAATTATACATAGGGTTTAATTTTCCCTGCGGAAAATAAGGGACGAGAAACCATCCCCCCTCCCTTTTTCTTTCAAAATTTCAGCATCTCTCCTTTCCAAATGTACTCAAGTCTTTTTCTTCTATGGCTAGGTTCAACTCAGGAATGTTTCTTGGGAGCCATCTCCTTGAAGTGTAATTGTTGGCCGGGTGCGGTGACTCACGCCTGCAATCCCAACACTTTGGGAGGCCGAGGCGGGCGGATTACAAGGTCAAGAGATCGAGACCATCTTGGCCAACACGGTGAAACCCTGTCCCTACTAAAAGTACAAAAATTAGCTGGGCATGGTGAAGCGTGCCTGTAGTCCCAGCTACTCAGGAGGCTGAGGCAGGAGAATCGCTTGAACCCGGGAGACCGAGGTTGCAGTGAGCCGAGATCGCGCCACTGCACTCCAGTCGGGAGACAGAGCGAGACTCCGTTTCAAAAACAAACAAACGAAAAGAAAAGAAAAGGAAAGAAAGAAATGTAATTGTTAAGGGACGAAAGGGCCCAGAGTCCGGTTTCTTAGGAGGACAAAGCCTTAACTTGTCCCCTGACTCCAAATTGCAAAACCTACATAATGCGATGGGCTATCTCTACTTAGCTGTATACAAAAAGTGAGTTTCTGTCTTTGTGTTGTCTTTAGCAGGTTGCATGTGATGTACGGCATCACAATCTGGTTTAATACTTATTCAATAATGGTTTTCTGTCTCTTCTACGTTTGTGGAGAGGTTTCACGGGTTGGGAGGAAACTGCCGTCCACCCCCCCCCACCCCCAGGCAGAGGAAAGCACATTGAAAGGTCCTGAAATTGGGAAGGACATGGTTTGCTGGTGATACAGCTAAGTATTACAGTTTGTAGTGTTCTGAAAGGGTCTCAATGAGGAGCGGGAGATAAGGACTATGTGTTCAAGGGTCTTGAATGTTCAGGCTAGAAAAGTGAGAACGTGGTTCTATAAGTAAAAGCAGAGTAGTGCTTGAAACTTGTATTTTACGTATAGCACCTACTAAATACATTCAATCACCTTACAGTATACAAATTCCATACTTCACTAAATGTCAAAACCCTAACGGACAGATAAGGCAGAACTATTACTTCCAGATTACTAACATGGAAACTAAGGCTCACCCAAACAAGTTAAGTGGTTTGTTCAAGACCTCCTACAACAGCCAGGGCCTGGTGCAGATTGTCCTAGCACAGGGTTCTCTGGTCTGTCCATTCTGCCACTCCGCTATGAGATTGTAATGGCCCAACAGGTTCACCTTGCCTGCTGCCTAGGCTGAACCCATTTATCAAGACAGGGGAATTGCAATAGAGAAAGAATAATTCATGCAGAGCCAGCTGTGCGGGAAACTGGGACTTCTTTTATTACTCAAATCAGTCTCCCCAAGCATTTGGAGGTCACAGTTTTTAAGGATAATTTGGAAGGTGGGAGGCAGCCAATGAGTCAGGAGTGCTGATTGATTGGGTCAGAGATGAAATCATAGGGAGTTGAAGCTGTCTTGTGCTTGACTCAGTTCCTGGGTAGGGGCCACAAGATCTGATGAGCCAGTTTATTGATCTGGGTGGTGCCAGCTGATCCATCCAGTGCAAGGTCTGCAAAATATCTCAAGCACTGATCTTAGACTTTAGTGATGTTATCCCCAGGAGCAATTTGGGGAGGGTCAGAATCTTGTAGCCTACAGCTGCATGATTCCTAAACCATAATTTCTAATCTTTTGGCTAATTTGTTACCCCTACAAAGGCAGTCTGGTCCCCAGGCAAGATCGGGGTTTGTTTTGGCAAAGGGCTATTATTGTCTTTCTTTTAAACTATAAGTTTTTCCCAAAGTTAGTTCAGCCTACACTCAGGAATGAACAAGGACAGCTTGGAAGTTAGAAACAAGATGGAGTTGGTTCGGTCAGATCCCTGTCACTCTTTCAGTTATAATTTTGCAATGGTGGTTTCAAGATGAAAGAGAACTGGGAAAGTAAATAGTTACGAAGGGCCAGAGAATGTGTGTTACTGAAAAAAGTGGGCTCACCTAAGGAACTGAAAGAGAAGTGCTTTTTAACAGAGTGATAACCCAAAAAAATTCACTAGAGAAGAGGGGATGCGGCTGGGCACGGTGGCTCACGCCTGTAGTCCCAGCACTTTGGGAGGCTGAGGTGGGAGGATCACTTGAGGTCAGGAGTTCAAGACCAACCTGGCCAACATGGTGAAACCCCTTCTCTACTGAAAATACAAAAAATAGCCGGGTGTGGTAGTGCATGCCTCTCAGGAGGCTGAGACAGGGGAATCGCTTGAACTCAGGAGGCGGAGGTGGCAGTGAGCCGAGATGGCACCACTGTATTCCAGCCTCGGTGACAGAGTGAGACTCCGGCTCAGAAACAACCAAAAAAGAGCCAGGCGTGGTGGCTCATGCCTGTAATCCCAACACTTTGGGAGGCCAAGGCTGGTGGTTCACCTGAGGTCAGGAGTTCAAGAGCAGGGTGAGCAACATGGTGAAACCCCATCTGTACTAAAAATACAAAAAATTAGCCGGGTGTGGTGGCACACACCTGTGATCCCAGCTACTTGGGAGGCTGAGGCAGGTGAATTGCTTGAACCCGGGAGGCGGAGGTTGCAGTGAGCCGAGATTGTGCCATTGCACTCCAGCCTGGGCAACAGAGCGAGACTCTGTCTCAGAAAGAAAAGAGAAGGGGAGATGCTTACTTATTATCAAAGTAATTAGAGGCCAGACGTGGTGGCCTGTAATGCCAGTGCTTCAGGAGGCCCAGACAGGAGGATCGCTTTAGCCCAGGAGTTCAAGACCAGCTTGAGCAACATCACAAAACCCGTCTCTACAAAAAGCTTAAAAAATTAGCCAGTCATGGTGGTGTCCGCTGATAGTGCCAGCTGCTCAGGAGGCTGAGGTGGTGGGTAGATCACTTGAGCCCCAGAGGTTGAGGCCGCAATGAGCTGTGATCGTGGCAATGCATTCCAGCTTAGGTGACAGACCAAGATCCCGTCTCAAAAACAAAAACAAAAACAAAACAAAAAAACAAAAAAAAACTAATTAGAAAGGGTGGTAACACAAAAATCACATAATCAGTTTAATTGTGATTATGCTGGGAAACTACATGAGACTGGCACAAAGAGAGAAACATGACAGCAGTATGTTAACTGCTTATCAGAATACTAAAAATAACTTTCTTCAAACCCACATCTCAAATGAGTAATTCCATTGTTCTTCCAGGCCAAGTAGTGACGCAGGATATTTTTCTTTAGTTCAGCTAAAATCTGGGTTCTTGTCTCCCAATCAGGAAAAATTAGGCACATGGACACGTTGAAGGGTCAGAATTTATTAAGTGAAAAGAAAGCCCTTAGCAAAGAGGCAGTCCTGCCAACAGTCTCCCACTCCACAGATTGAATACCAGGCCACCACACCGGAGCTGAAGAGGTCCGGCTCCTCCCCTGCATAAAGCGTGAATACCTGGTGGCTCCACCCCATTCCCCCAGTGCACACGTGGGCCCCTAGTCTGAGCCACTCCACACTGATTTATTTCCCTTACTACACATATGTTAAGGGATGGAATTTTTCACCATAGGCATGTTTAGGCAAGCCCCTTGCACATAATGACCTGGATGGCATTTGCTGTCTCCTTTCTCTATCAGTAGCATATTTAGGGGAGGAAAGATGAATTTTCTTGCTACCCTTCTAAATTCTCAGCTAGAGCCCTTGTAACAAAAGATAGATTTTTTTTTTTTTGAGACAGGATCTCACTGTGTCTCCCAGGCTAGAGCACAGTGGTGCTATCATGGCTCACTGCAACCTCCACACCCCCAGGATCAAGTGATCCTCCCACCTCAGCCTCCCAAATAGCTGGGACCACAGGAGCTTGCCACCATACCTGGCTATTTATTTATTTGTTTGTTTATTTTTCTGAGACAGAGTCTTGCTCTGTCGCCCAGGCTGGAGTGCAGTGGCGTGATCTCGGCTCACTGCAACTTCTGCCTCCCAGGTTCATGCAATTCTCCTGCCTCAGCCACCTAAGTAGCTAGGATTACAGGCACCCGTCACCATGCCTGGTTAATTTTTGTATTTTTAGTTGAGGCAGGGTTTCACCATCTTGGCCAGGCTGGTCTTGAACTCTTGACCTCGTGATCCACCTGCCTCAGCTTCCCAAAGTGCTGAGATTACAGGCGTGAGCCACTGCACCTTGCCCTAATTTTTTAATTTTTAATTTTGTAGAGACGGGGTCCTGTCCTGTTGCCCAGGCTGATCTCCAGCTCCTGGGTTCAAGCAATCCTCTTGCCTCGGCCTCCCACAATGTTGGGATTACAGGCGGGAGCCACCATGCCCAGCCCAAAAGATTAACAAGAGAAAAACAAATGGAGCCATATTAACATGTATACTTTGCATATACCTGTGAGATGCCCAAGAAAATGAGTAATTCTCAAAGGAGTGGCTTAGAATTCAGGTTTAAGTACCATCTTCAGCTAAAAACAAATAAGGGAGCGAGGAAGGCCAGTTTTGGGAAAAAGACCCAAAGAAGCACAGAAAACAAGTTGCTGCCTTCTCCATTGATAAGGGTCTCTGGTGATTTAGAGTCATCTTTCTCTTCCTGGTACAGAGAGGGAGACACCCTTATGAAGAGTGTAAGCGACTTCTTCTAAGACTAAATTTATCTTTCAAAGGGGTAGCTTATGCTGTTTTCATAGCTTCTGTTTCTCAAAATTATCAGCTCAAAATAATCCTCATGCCAACGAGGCATATTTTGGGGTGGCATATTCTGGTCTCCTACAGATGTATGCCTGAAAAGAAAATTAGCAATTTGGCTCTAGAAGAATAAACAGTGTTAGCTAATGAGATGTCAAAGTGGAACT